ACTTTCAGGAAGGGAAGTATCAAAGACATAAAATGTTTCACTGGAATGTATTCAGTATTTATTATCAGTATTTATATCATATACTAACAGCAATAACCAAGCACTAAATACTTGGTAAGTTTCCTCTGCTGCACATACTGTATATTTGGAAAAGGAGTGTGTGTTGTTAGGGTGTTGTAGGTAACAAAAATTAAGGAAACAACAGGTAAGAATTTTGTTATAAGTAGCGTGATATTATAGGCATTCACAACTGTGGAAAAAATCACCATTTGCTTCTAAGATATAACTTAACTGAGCCTTGAGTTTGTTTGCTTTTGACACTGTAACTAATGTACCAAGAGCAAGGAGTCCAGTGTTGACGTACACTGATGTGCCAATATATTCTTCTGGCCAATAAACTGAATTAAGTACAGAGCCCCTGAAGTCCCAAAAGGTGATGTTTTTTGTTATATGCACAATCATTATCTTGTGGGAACAAGTTGTTATGTTGGTCAAACAAGATCATTAACCTGTTCCTACAGGGTAATTACCTTCTGCATACATGATGATAAATTGTTCTCAAAAGATAATTATCTCCTGCAGAGAAAATTATAAATTGTTCCCACAAGGTAACTTGTGTGCCAGTGTTGATTTACTTGTTTCTAGGAGATAATTAACTTGCACAAGATCATAAATTGTTCCCACAAGGTAATAAACTTGTGTGCAGAAGATAATTAATTGTTCCCTGATGATAATTAACTTGTGCGCACAAATTAATAAATTGTTCCCACAAGATAATTATCTTGTGCACACATGATAATAAACTGTCTCACAAGATAATAGTCTTCTGCACACAAGATAATGAATTGGTCCCAAAAGATAATTGTCTTCTGCATACAAGATAATAAATTGTTCCCAAAAGATAATTGTCTTCTGCATACAAGATAATAAACTGTTCCCAAAAGATAATTGTCTTCTGCATACAAGATAATAAATTATTCCCAAAAGATAATTATTTTCTGCACACAAGACAATAAATTGTTTCCAAAAGATAATTGTCTTCTGCATACAAGATAATAAATTATTCCCAAAAGATAATTATTTTCTGCAAACAAGACAATAAATTGTTTCCAAAAGATAATTGTCTTCTGCATACAAGATAATAATTGTTCCCAAAAGATAATTGTCTTCTGCATACAAGATAATAAATTATTCCCAAAAGATAATTATTTTCTGCACACAAAACAATAAATTGTTTCCAAAAGATAAATGTCTTCTGCATACAAGATAATAAATTATTCCCAAAAGATAATTGTCTTCTGCATACAAGATAATAAATTGTTCCCAAAATATAATTAACTTGTGCATACAAGCTAATAAATTGTTCCCAAAAGATATTTACCTTCTGCACACAAGATAATAAATTGTTCCCACAAGAAAACAGTCTTGTTCACACAAGATAAAAAAAGTTCCCAAAAGATAATTATCTTGTACATACAAGATAATAAATTGTTCCAACAATATAATAGTCTTGTTCACACAAGATAAAAAAATGTTCCCAAAACATAATTAACATGTGCACACAGGAATTAAGATAATTAAGTAGTGCACACAAAGTAAGACATATCATCTTTTGGGGCTTTAGTCGCTCTGTAGAAAAGTTGATGCAACTTGAAAACTTGAAAAAACTATAAATACATATTAAAATTACAGTATGACACATACTGGTCTTTTAACTGTCATTTCTTTAACACTGTCTTCTACAGATCGTCAATGCTAGGGCTGATGCTCAGAACACAAAGGCCAAGAAGGTAAGTAAAAACACACACATTGTACATATGTCACTAAAATAGACATTTAGACATGACTTGTAGTCTAAAATGGATGTGTGGGGTTGAGAACAAACTCTATAGGAGAGAGACACTATTCACCGCAGCGCATACTCAAGTTTGCAAACTTGCATACTCTGGATGCAAAAATAATCTCACTGGTCAGGTCAAACCTCAGCAGGCAAACAACAATGGCAAACGCCACACCTATTGTGTTTTTTCTCGGCAGCCGCACACTGGCAGCTGTTTGTGGCGTGTTAAACTAATATGATGGCTCCAGCTGTGAAAAGCCTTTCCATTATCATGATGTCATTAGTAGTTGCCTGCTGCTAAATTATTTAAAAGCCCTTTTTAATTGCTAAATTTGAAGATGCAAATGAAACTTTTCAAATGAAAAATAAATGCAGAATAGCAGCTGTAATAAAACTTACTTATTCAGTCGTTCATGATCTTTGAAAACTAACTTCTGCTTGCAGAGATAGAGTTTTTCATGTGATCATAAGAGCACTTAACCTGCTGTTTTAATGCTATGGTTATTTTAGTCTATTATTTCCTATTGCCAGCCACAAACTTTGCACAGCCCAGACCACTCTGGTGTGTTGTGCTTTCTTGCCTGCAAGTATAGCTTGTTCTTCCTCTGTATGTTCACTCAGCCATTTACTAAGAAAGATTCAGTCTTTCACGAGATTTCATGTCACAATGTGCAGGTGTTTACATAGTTACACTGTTTCTAATTTTTTTTTCTATGTTCTGACAGAATGCTGAAGAGGGCATCTATACGGTGAGTTTTGATGCTATCACTGATCTAAAAGAGATGTAGGACAGCTGGTATCTTAAATGTTACATTATCTTTATTATTATTAAACGACAGCATATACTGATTGTCTTATTTTCCCTCTCTGTTTTAAATCCAGGGTTTGACTCCTCACGCCCAGGACACATACGAAACTATCGGCATGAAGAAGTGACACCATGAGTGAAAGTCCAGAGACAGATGTTTTCCTTTCAATACCTTTTTGTATTTAAATATCGCCTATCTGCTTCGATTTTGAAAGAATGTGAGACAGCATACACCAGTGCTCATTTCTCTTTTGCATTTGTAGCTTTTATGGGAAGTTAAGAAAGGTTGAAACAGAGAAGTTGAGCCTAAGATTTCAAGCTCAGAAATGCTTTTCCTCATTTTTATACAGTGTTATTACCTAACCATTGAACATATTTAATTTTTATGCAAATATATTTCAATAACTGTAATGCTTCAGAAACATTTTATATTGTAATGCTTTTAAACAAAAAAATTGTTACTGATGTTATATTTCATGTGTATAGACTGTCCTACTAACTTCCTCTTTTAGGCCATTTGAAAGACGTCAGTCTTTTTTTTTATAAAGGAATGGCAAAAAGTATTGTCACAGTTTTGTGCAAGATTGTAGGTGTTGAATATGTTTAAGCCATGTTTAAGCCCTAGAGGTATTAAGCAGTGTTTCCTGTACACCACAGGATGGCAGTGATGTTGTCTTGAGTGAGGTGCTTACCTGTGAAACAAAGAAACACCACAGACTGCTGTAAAGTTTTGTATGTAAGCCGCTGCCTGTCGGACATATAGAGCTGTCACACAAAACCTATTAAATGTTTGACTTGCTTATTAAATAACTTTGTCTCTTTTTGAATTACAGTGGTTAATAAAGGAAACTCTGTTTCTTAGATATTGTGTTTATATGGGGAGAGGTAAACCTACAAATGTCACAAGTTAAACAACCACAAAAAGAAATAAAAATGATAATTTTCTGATTGTGGTTTGGCTACTGGCAGTCATGGGTGGAATATGAGACAATGGGCCCCTGGGCACAGATATGCAAAAGGCCCCACCACCTCTGCTATGAAGGAGCAAGACCCACAGACTTTTGTGTCTGTTTGTAGTCATGTTGTGTCTCTTTTTGGTTGTTTTGCCCCCTTTTGCAGGTATCTAGTGTCTCTTCGTTATTTGTTTGCATCTCTCTGTGGCTGTTTTTGTGTCTCTTTGTGGTTGTTTTATGTCTTTTTGTAGCCATTTTGTGCCTCTTTGTGTTTGTTTTGCCTCTTTTTGCAATTATTTTGTGTCTCTTACAAGTTTGTTTGCATCTCTCTTATGGTCATTTTGTGTCTCTTTGTGTTTGTTTTCCCCCCTTGCATTTTTTTTTTGTCACTTAGGAATTTGTTTGTGTCTCTCTGTGTCTGTTTGTAGTCAATTTGTGTCCCTTTGTGTTTGTTTTGCACATTTTTGTAGTTATTTTGTGTCTCTTTGCAGTTCTTTGCGTCTCTCTGTAATGTTTTTATGTCCGTTTGTAGTCAATTTGTGTCTCTTTGTGTTTGTTTTGCAGTTATTTTGTGTCTCTTAGCAGTCTGTTTACATCTCTCTGTGGTCCTTCCTTGTAAGCCTCTTACTAGTCAGAACATGTCAATTTGAGTGACATTTTGCAGGTGAAGGCCATGGGGGGCCCTGACACTGTAGGCTCCTGGGCCTGTGCCTGTTAGGCCCGTTAAGTAATCCATCCATGCTAACAGTTTGTATGAAGCTCCTGAAGATTTATGTCAGTCTGAAAAGATTTTATCTGTCACAATTAACCGAGATCAGACTGATTAAAAACATGTCTAACATGGAACAGATGAAGAAGAAAAGGATTGTGATTGTGTGGGAGTAAAAAAACAATGATGTCCTATTGATTTACGAGGTGGTTTTAGATTATGACATTTCATTTGGAAATTAAATGCACCCAAAATGGGGAGAGTGGTTTCCTCTTGTGAATTAGATTATGAAATTCTTTATAGTGTCAGTGTGGTGCTCACATTTGCTAATATTTGTCGTGATCCCTTTATAAATTAAAGGATTAATTTGTTTTTCACCTACAGGAGGACGCACCTTTTAGTTCTGGCATCAGCCTAGTACAGCAGCCCATTGTGATATCCATTCTGCGTCATTTGGAAGCAGTTTAAAACTGCTTTGCTTTTCACCTGCCTCTCCTCTGAGCAGAGCAAGTAAAGACGAGAATATAACTGTCATGACCAAACTGGAAAGGTGACTTTTGGCGCAACTGTGTGTGTGTCTGCGTGTGTCTGTGGGTGTGTGTGTGTGTGTGTGTGTGTGTGTGTGTCAGAGAGAGGGAGGGAGAGAGAGACAGAGGGAGAGGTGAAGCACAAACAGGTGTATCCCAAACAGGTAGAGCTGCGCCTTTCTTTTTTTCTAAAGGGCAAACATGATGGCGTGCGCTTGACAAAGCAACACCTAACCAAACTGAGAGGATTTACACTTTTTCACAAGGACTGACTTCAAACAACTATAACATTCACGTTTCTCGCTCGGGACGGGGCTTTGGATGGGATCAAGGATGGAGGCATGAGTCCGCCTCTGTGCTTCACACATGCCTGTCATTTAGGATACCATTACCTGGACTGATGAGCTTTATTTCAGCGCTGAAATTGTCCCAGCTTGTGCACAGTTAACAGTACCTGCCGAGGAGAATGACACCTCAGCTGAACAGACTGTCTCTGTGTCTCTGTGTCCTCGGGATCTTTGGTAAGAAGGCTTTACATGCATGTCAGTCCAAAGTGATATCATGCAGAAGTTTAAGACTTAACAGTATGTGTCTCTTTCCTGTCTGGTGTCAGATATGATTTTCTGCAGTACTTCTATCTCCTATCTATTCCTATAATTCTAATACAGTCTTATAGGCCTGTTTATAATGCCATGGCAGCAGACTGAATATCTGTATGGTGAAGTAAACACTGGTCTTTCATAATGTTACCTTTATTTTCTTTCTTATGAATGCATGCTTATTCACAAGCTCAGTTCTGTACACTCTAGGCAGCTAGTTTTAGGGATAGACTTAGCTGGAGTGGTGCCGTTAAAGAAAACACTTGTCTGATATTTCTGGAAAAACAGGTTGCTGTTGATCAAATCCCCTCCTGCTGTCTAATTCAGACGAACTGCGTGGACCCTTCTTATGTGTGTGTGTTGCCTAAGCCTAGATGTGCGTGCACATGTTGTAAATGCAGTGGGCCTACGCACTAACAGTGTTGCAGATTACATATCAAATATAAATAAAAAAAAATGCTAGTACTTAAAGAATGTTGGACTATGATAAATAAAATTAAAAGCTTTTAAAAGTATTTTTAAAAGCAGGATAGGCCATGTGTTATTCCAGTAATGCAGAACAGGCAGATTCCACAGTATGGCTTAAACCTCAGGGTGACAAACGCACACACGCACACACACACACACACACACGCACACACGCACACGCATATTCATGGAAAAACACACCTGTCTGCAGAGTACACTCATTGGGTCTGCTGGTAAATGCATGAATCACATCCAACCCACTGACATATCTGAACAGATTCTCTCACATCAGATGTTGAATCAACATCTGTAAGAGCGGCTCAGTGTGAAACAGATACACACAAACAACCAAACCTGTGAACCTGGAACAGGTTATGTTGGCTGGAATGTTCATTATTTCCACTGAAATCAGTGTGGAGTGGATTAACAGAATCATGCGTGATGTGATGGACAGTATAATGCTCAGAGTCACATGCTCTGTTCACACATGAGACCCTTTATATTGCAGTATTATCAAAACTGTATGGACACCAAGTTAGTGGGACCAAGACTGTACTGGAATGTTTTAAAGTTTCTTCTTGTTCTGGCTTTCTTTCTTGACTCTCATGTTTTTTAATAGTCATGCTAACAGCATAGCTCTACGGACAGCAATGACTAAAATTTCACAACTGTCAGATGGATTGCCATGGCATGATTGACATTCATGATCCCCAGTGGATGAATCTTAATGATTTTGGTAAACTCCTGACTCTTTTCTCTTGCACCTCCATGAGATTCACATTTTTGTTCAAAGTACATATGATATGTCATATGTGTGATATCTTATGAAAATGCACAAACAATGGTTCATATGATCTTTAACTAATGAGTGCCCCATTAGCTTTGTGCATACTATATGTGAATATATGTACTTAACATAAAGTTATGTAAGTTAGGTTTTGGCAAGTAAAGTTTTGTAGGTTAGGTTTAAGAAAGTAAAGTTACGTAGATTAGGTTTAGGAAAGTAAAGGTATGTAGGTTAGGTTTAAGAAAGTAAAGTTATGTAGGATAGGTTTATGAAAGTAAAGTTACGTAGGTTAGGTTTAGGAAAGTAAAGTTACCTAGGTTAGGTTTAGGAAAGAAAAGTTATGTAGGTTAGGTTTAGGAAAGTAAAGTTATGTAGGTTAGGTTTAGGAAAGTAAAGTTACCTAGGTTAGGTTTAGGAAAGAAAAGTTATGTAGGTTAGGTTTAAGAAAGTAAAGTTACGTAGATTAAGTTTAGGAAAGTAAAGGTATGTTGGTTAGGTTTAAGAAAGTAAAGTTACGTAGGATAGGTTTATGAAAGTAAAGTTACGTAGGTTAGGTTTATGAAAGTAAGGTTACGTAGGTTAGGTTTAGGAAAGTAAAGTTACCTAGGTTAGGTTTAGGAAAGAAAAGTTATGTAGGTTAGGTTTAGGAAAGTAAAGTTA